AGAAACATTCGGATTTAGCCGCACGTCTCTCAAGATGGCTAAACCCGAATGATTCTAGTTCTAGGTCTTGTGTTAGTTCTAGTGATAGTGCTAGTGTAAAACTAGAACTAACACTAGACCGCGAAATAGAAACATTCGGATTTAGCCGCAGGTCTCTCAAGATGGCTAAACCCGAATGATTCTTGTTCTAGGTCTTATGTTAGTTCTAGTGATAGTGCTAGTGTAAAACTAGAGTTAACACTAGACCGCAAACTAGAAACATTCGGATTTAGCCGCACGTCTCTAAAGACGGCTAAACTCGAATGATTTTAGTTTTTGGTCTAGTTCTGCATAACAATTAAAGCTAGAACTATCACTAGACTTAGACTAAAAAGTTTCGGGTTTAGCCGTGAGTCTTCAGACGCAGTTGTAGTTGTCAGTAGTAGAGTCAGTTGTAGTTTTACACTAGCACTGTTACTATGTAGAACTAACACTATACCTAGAACTAGAATAATTTGCCGTCTTTAGAGACGTGCGGCTAAACCCGAATGATTCTAGTTCTAGGTATAGTGTTAGTTCTAGTTTTACACTTGCACTGTTACTAGAACTAAAATTAGACCTAGAACTAGAATCATTTGGGTTTCAGACGCAAGGCTAAACCCGAAACTTTCTAGGTCTAGGTCTAGTGTTAGTTTTAGTTTTAACTGTTATTCACTAGATTGTTGTATATTTTTATTGAAGTAGTTGAAAGGTTAAATATACGCATTGGTTAAATATAAGTATTAATTTAATATTATTTTATTGGTATTTTATGTCTTTGTGGTAAATGGAATACTTATCTTTAAGTTAATTATTATTTAACACGATATTATTTCATTTTGAATCAAAATCTGGGTAAAAAGTTAAAATGTTATTTTGAAAAATAACAGCATTGTGTTTATTTTTGCTCTATAACAATTAAGTAAGTATTCTAGCATTATAATTATCAATTCTTTTACGTACCCAATATAACCTATTGGTAACCATGGAAACGTATTTCGTTTTAAGGGTAGTTCTGACATTAAGAAATGATTTAGATAAGTTTACTGCCAAGTTATAGTATTTAGCCAGTATGTTTCTACAACTTATTGTTTTGTGCAAGAGAATGCAAGAGAAAGAAGATAATCTCATTTAAAAGGACAAAATGAAAGCGTTTCAGAGAAAATGGTAGATTTGCAAAAAACTGTGTAGTGTATGTTCACCTTTTCCAAGCAAAACTTTTCCTTTGCAATATTACCCAATGGCTGTACAGGATGGTTCAAATTCGATGTCCGAATAGGCTATCTTGGAAACATGGACACATGTCATGATCTCGTTCTTCCAGAAACTGCTAATGCGAAAAACCTCAAAGCGCCATCGTCTTTTGTTTTTCCCCTAGAGGCCAAAATTGAAAATATCGTAAAACCAGCAAGTGCAATTACCTTGGTTATTATTATAGGTGGACTATTATATGGACACTTTTTTACAGAGAATCTGATGACGTAGTCAAAAAAATGTTTTCGGTTTTAGATTTTAAGATATTATGACAAATTTCGTTTCTTTTAATTGAAACAACCACTGATTATTCGCTTATTAAATTCGTTATTTTTTTCTGATTACAAAAATATGGGATTAGATAAGTCTATTTCTTATTGTTTTAGAATAAAGCTATAAATAAGCTTTTTTTTTAGTGTCGTCAAAGAAATTAAATTTACAGTTTCCTGTAAATTACAGTACTATAACTAAAAATTATTCTACTAAAAATTTATATAAAATTTACTTTATTTTCTAATATGTAACATTCTAACATGTTAAACTTTTCATAATTTAAGTTTTTGAATACAAACAAATGTTGCTATGTTTATTTGAATTAAAAAAATATAAGTACCGCGGTTTGCCACCATTTTGGCTCGAAAGTCAAGCGGGAAATTTAAAACTATGTCGTTCTATTGATAACATTACGCCAAAACTCCTTTATTTTTTCTCGTGATACTCTTAAGAGTCCAAAGCCCCTCTTACTGCTAATTTTGCAACACCAAAGGCAACAAGACGGCAATATTTTTGTAAATAAGTGGTGAGTAGCAGTGACAAGTTGTCAAACCGCCATTTTGGATCGAAAACAGGCGTCATGAACCGCGGTACTTTGTAAATCTAGGGACTTTAAAAAAATATATATATGATCGCCATCTATCAATAATTTATTAAGTCATTTAATAATAATATTAAATATTAATAAAAAATGTGAAAATATGTCATTTAATAATAATATTAAATATTAATAAAAAATGTGAAATAATGCAATCTATTCCAACTTTTGTGTAAAACAAATATAAATTAAATAGTTCAACAAATGTATTTGTTTCAAATATCAGAAATGTGTTTTTTTAATTTTTAGTTATAATTTACAGGAAACTGTAAATTTAATTTCTTTGNAAACAAATATAAATTAAATAGTTCAACAAATGTATTTGTTTCAAATATCAGAAATGTGTTTTTTTTAATTTTTAGTTATAATTTACAGGAAACTGTAAATTTAATTTCTTTGACGACACAAAAAAAAGTTTATTTGTTGCTTTATTCTAAAACAATAAGAAATAGACTCGTCAAGCCCTATATTTTTGTAATCAGAAAAAAATAATGAATTTAATAAACGAATAATCAGTTTCCATTTAAAAAAACCAAAATTGTCATGATATCTCAAAATCTAAAACCGAAACATTTTTTTTGGCTACGTCATGAAATTCTCTGTAAAAAGTGTCCATATAATGTCTTAGTTATAATACTCCACCTATAATAATAACCAAGATAATTGCACTTGTTGGTTTTATTATATTTTCAATTTTGGCCTCTAGGAGAAAAACAAAAGACGATAGCGNATGGGGGTGAGCCACTTTTGAGGGACACCCGGTATTTAAATAAAAGCAAGCTAAAGAAGCTTTTTCTAGTATACCTTTTTGGTGTAATTTTTAATATTGTACTATTAAGCTATGTTGCATTTTATGTGGGAAAGTGCAAGTGCATAGTGGTTTCGTAACTATGGTTACTGCATTCATATATTGCTATAAATACAGTGTGTTAATTAATTATCGTACCCGACGTCATCATTGCAAGTATGTAACCAATATCACACTGAATATATCTGAATACGCAAATCGCGTATTGCAATACCAGTACTGTGATATTGGATAATATGTTGATTTTTAATCTAATGAAGAAATATCAAATTTAAACCCAAATTTTAAAAATTCATTTAGTTCGTATTTATGGGAATTAAGAAACGATTCGTACATCAAAATAAAGTTTGAAATCTCACAATATGATTTAGCCTAAATAAAATGAAAAATAACCTTTATAACGATCAATTCTAACCTTACTATTTGTTAAGGTTAAAAATCACGTTATTAGAAGTTCATTTCCTTTTTGTTCTTTATCATTTCTCTTTGACGTTATGTTGAAAAATCGTCGTTTCTCGTATTTCCCCCACAATATCCAGACTATTTCTGTCGTGAAATTTATCAAATCCGATCGTGGTTTTAGATTTATAACTCCATAAATACCAGAGATATACCACACTACAGAAAATATTTCCCCCAATCCCCTCGGATTCTAACAAATAAATCGCCTCGCATCGTCCATGATGCTTCACAATTTTTAAAAGCTAAATCTTCTTAAATAAATTTAATTATAACCACAAAAAATATACGTTACAAGTTTTTTAAGTCTTTTTGTATCTTTTTTGTGGTTTATTATCATTAAAAAACGTAGATTTTTCAATCTCCGTTCTTAACTTGAGCGGCTTTCGGACTTGGTATACAATTACCTAACGTCGGAGGTCATCCCGTATAATTGGGTATGTATTACAAAGCCATTACTATTCTCGGCCCTTTACAAGGGTTCCATATTAAACGTTAGTGAGCGACCTCCGCTCCCCTACTATTCGGTAATTAATGTGGAGATTATCGCGCTTTAGATCTCGTGAAATTACGCAAATTTCCCGCGCGTCCTAACCCCTTTAAACGTGTATATTATTATCTTGCCTTGAAAATCGAAAAGTAGATTACGTTAATTAGGTGACATTATTAATATCCTTAATAAGTAATGATCTTACCTTTTTACTTGAATGTTTGTGATACCTCGCTGGGTGTAACATACACATATATCGATCCATAGCCATACAAATTAATATAACAGCACTCTGTTGGCTGATTGCGCCGCGAAGTAACGCTTGAATTTGACAAAGTAATTCTCCGTAAGGCCAACACCTTCTAAATGATGGTATTATCGCGAAGGGAGTTACGAAAAAACCCATCGCCAGATCGTTACTGGCCAAAGACGTGAGCAAATATCTTGGCTAAAACAACAATAATTTCTTTTTATATAATTTAATTTTATTTGATTTTTTTCTTACTTGTGAATGAATATATTTAGAATACTTCCTACTATTTATTATTAAAATCAGCATCATATTCGCTGCTAGTACTCCAACGGTTAGAATTAAAACGATTGTAGCTTGTAGACTTCCTGAAAAATCCATCGATCTCCAAACGTCGGGATCGAATCTTGGATGGGAACAGCTCATATTATGTAATGATGGTGCAACCAAAACCATAGTTTTATGATGCATTTTGCTGATTATTTTGGGTTTAATTGCTATCTTCTTTGCGATAATAACACCCAAATTATTTTTTGATTCATTTCTAATCTAAACTCGAACATTTTCGAGTTTTTATTTATTTTTTAAAAATGTAGTTCTATTTTCGATCGTTGTTCCCTGAAACAAAGATAAAAGAGTGAATACAAGACTAGAAATGGAGAAATAGAAGCGACGGTAATAAAAGTAAATTTAATACTTGACGTAGTTGGGTTTCGTGCCAAAAGAAAGAGATCTCTTTGGCAAAGAGTCTTGGAGAAATAAAACCGAAGCCAAAAGCGCTTCGGGAGAATCGAGCATTAATCTACCCTATATCAAACCGATCTCTGGTCGGTTTAATGGGAAATACTCGAGAGGATATTGTCAAAATGATTGAAAATATTTAACGCGACGTTAACCATCTTCTTAAATACAATTTAAAGTCGATACTATTTACAAAACCACTTTGTTTTATCGACTTAACAAATTTTAACAAAATTTACTCGTAGATGAATGTAATGGTTAAAGAGTAATGTCGAAATCTTGAGTGAAACAGGTGCGATTAATCTCTAAATCTAATCAAAATAGCAGGAATTCCATCAGGTCATGGTTATGCAGCCCTCCTAAAGCCTCCGACGTCCATCCCAATGCAATCGTCCCTTCCTAGACTCTAGACTAGGAGCAACACTAAACTTGTGCATGATTAGAGTGAAATCGGTCGAATTATAATTTCAATAAACAAAGAGGAAATTCTATCCTTATCGGGGAATATCTCATCATTGAATTTAATACGGTCGAGGACATTTAAGACCATTTAAGATCTTACTCAACAAAACATTGTTCGTGGTTAATGTAACGTTAATTGATTACTAAATTAGATATAAACAACACAATTTTATATTAAAAACCTTGGATATACATAAAAGCACGTCCTAAATGAAATATATGTCACACTATTGTTTAAGTAAAAAAAGACGAATGACGACAACTTATTGTGTTGTCTGTGATTTATGCAAACTGATTGGGAATTAAGAAATGGAACGTTGCCAGATTGTAAAAGAACGTGTAAGGTTAGATTGTACCAAATTTTAGGTCTCTCTGGTGATAGATTCATTACATATAGATTTTTGAAAATCACCCATTTAATTTGACGTTTCTTGAATGTGAAGTTAACGAAAAAAATTTATATCTCCAAAACTGTTCGGAATGAAGTTATGAAATTTTTTGAGGTTGAAAAGGAACGTTTGGGGTTAGATTGTTCCAAATTTTAAGTCTTCTTGATAATCGATTCATTTTATACAGATTTTTGAAAATCATCTATTTAAATTGACGTTTCTTGAATGTGAGGTTAAAGAAAAAAATTAATTTCTCCAAAACTGTTAGGAATTAAGTAATTAAATTTTTCGAGGTCAAAAAGGAACGTTTGAGGTTAGATTATACCAAATTTTAAGTTTCCACGGCGATCAATTCATTTTATACGCAGTTTTAAAAATCACCAGATTAATATGACGTTTCTTGAATGTGAAGTTAACGAAAAAAATTAATTTCTCTAAAACTGTTAGGAATTAAATAATGAAATTTTTTGAGGTTATAAAGGAACGTTTGAGGTTTGGTTAAACCAAATTTTAAGTTTTCATGGTGATGAATTCATTTTATACACAATTTTTAAAATTACCAGATTAATTTGACGTTTCTTGAATGTGAAGTTAAGGAAAAAAATTAATATCTCCAGAACTGTTAGAAATTAAGTAATGAAACTTTTTGAGGTTAAAAAGGAACGTTTGAGATTACGTTATACCAAATTTTGAGTTTCCATGGTAATCAATTCATTTTATACACAGTTTTAAAAATCACCAATTTAATATGACGCTTCTTGAATGTGAAGTTAAAGAAAAAAATTAATTTCTCGAAAACTGTTAGAAATTAAGTAATGAAACTTTTTGAGGTTAAAAAGGAACATTTGAGGTTAGGTTATACCAAATTTTAAGTTTCCATGGTGATCAATTCATTTTATACACAGTTCTAAAAATCTCCAGTTTAATATGACGTTTCTTGAATATGAAAACGATAAAAATTAATTTCTCCATAACTGTTAGGAATTAAGTAATGAAACTTTTTGAGGTTAAGGAGAAACGTTTGAGGTTAGTTTATACCAAATTTTAAGTTTCCATGGTGATTAATTCACTTTATACACAGTTTTAAAAATCACCAGTTTAATATGACGTTTCTTGAATATGAAAACGATAAAAATTAACTTCACCATAACCGTTAGGAATTAAGTAATGAAATTTTTTGAGGTTAAGGAGGAACGTTTGAGGTTAGGTTACACCAAATTTTAAATCTCCCTGATGATTGATTCATTTTATACAGGTTTTTGAAAATTACTTGTTTAATTTGACATTTCTTGATTGTGAAGTTAACGAAAAAAATTAATTTCTCCAAAACTGTTGGGAATTAACTAATGAAATTTTTTGAGATTAAAAAGGAACGTTTGAGGTTAGGTTATACCAAATTTTAAGTTTCTATGGCGATCAATTTATTTTATACACAGTTTTAAAAATCTCCATATGACGTTTCTTGAATATGAAAACGATAAAAATTAATTTCTCCATAATTGTTAGGAATTAAGTAATAAAATTTTCTGAGGTTAAAAAAAAACGTTGGAGGTTAGGTTATACCAAATTTTAAGTTTCCATGGTGATTAATTCACTTTATACACAGTTTTAAAAATCACCAGTTTAATATGACGTTTCTTGAATGTGAAGTTAACGAAAAAAAAAATTTCTCCAAAACTGTTGGGAATTAACTAATGAAATTTTTTGAGGTTAAAAAGGAACGTTTGAGGTTAGGTTATACCAAATTTTAAGTTTCCATGATGATCGATTCATTTTATACACAATTTTAAAAATCACTAGTTTAATATGACGTTTCTTGAATATGAAGTTAACGAAAAAATTAATTTCTCCAAAACTGTTCTGAATTAAGTAATGAAACTTTTTGAGGTTATAAAGAAATGTTTGTGTTTAGGTTATACCGAATTTAAAGTTTCCCCGACAAACAGTTTTTTTAATAAACATTTTTTAAATCAGCTGATTTGATTTTGAACATTAAATTAAGAAAAATTTTTTTTCTCCAAAACAGTTAGGAGTGAAGTAATGAAACTTTTTGAGGTTATAAAGGAACGTTCGTGCTTTGGTTATACCAAATTTAAAGATTCCCGGCAGAACGATTTTTTTAATAAAAATGTTTAAGCTTTATACTTCTATACCCAACTGAACTAACATAAGGAAAGTGTAAATTAGTCCAAAGATCCAAGCAGATAATTGGAAGCAAGGAGAGGTACTTACAAATTTACAAATTGCGCAAAAGGAGTACCTTTTTGTTATTCTTAAGGATGATGACGAAAAAGGATGACAGAAGATGGTCAACAACGGAGAAATTATTAATAAAAGCTTTTCTTTCCATTTTATTACTTTCAGAGATGACGAGGATTATAATGCATTTCGAATTAGGTTGACCAAAAAGTTCTGCTTACTTCAATTTTTGCAAAACTCAATAGAAACTGATTTTTCACAAAAACAGGAAAGGGCAAAAAACGAGGAATATACAGTTCAAATTAGATTGGCCAACAATTCTGCTCAGCCGAATTTTTGCAAAAATGCCAAAAAAAACTGATTTTATATGGAAATAGGAAAAGTATTTTTTTCACAACTGCTCATTTATATAACAATTCGTTTAGATTAATAATTTTAGAAATCATAAATAAATTGATCAAAAATATTGCAAAAAGAAAATTAAATTTCAAATAAATACTCTGATACAACACGTAGTCGCGTTATTAATGAACTTATTATTTAATTACACAAATTTATAACCAACGCCTCAAAAATACGCACGCACCACCACAAATCAAATTATTTTCTCGTTGTGCGTGTTAATAAATGCCAACCCAAAACAAAAAAGAAAATACTGGAAGCGTGAATATAGATCCATAAAGGTTGAATATGGATCGAAACAAAACAAGGCTAAAACGTCCCTATGGAAAAACATTCCTTTTATATTTCCATTTTTTCCCGGTGCGATCCATCATAAAATCAACCCCCAAACCAACCCAAAAAAAAAAGAATAAAAACATAAATTACGATGCACCCACTATGTATTTAATTTTAGAAACTTAGTAACTTTAAAGTTTAGAACTGTGCAAGTTGTTATTATTAGAAACGTTTAAGACACCGCGTATAAACATTAATTTCCCAAAGGGGTGTTTGTTTTTACAGTTAATTAGGCCATTAAACGGGTTAATTAGTAAGCGGTAATTACCAATTAAAGTTGAAAATCTATTAAAATTTATTCGTCAAAATGATGAAAATAAAAAGTATTCATATCGATCCTCAAAGTTTAAACAGAAAATGTTTGGCGAAAGCGTTTAAACCAAAAGCCACGTTCATTGTTTGAACGTGTTAGAGCATGTTTGGGGAGTTTAGACCGTTTTGATTTATGACATACGCCCCGAGTGAACACACACACATATGGAAGGACATAAAGATTGAGAGGGTTGAAACGCAAGTTGAGTTGGGAGTTTATAAAGCGCTGTCGAAAGTGCTCAATTTTTTTGATTTAAAAGAAGTTGAAATCGTTAGTATTTTTCTGAAACGTCGAGGCTAACGACGATGGTAAGGATGAAAAAAATTGTCGTGTGGTTTATCGTCTGGATGTAAAGTGAGTTACGAGTTGCGGGTTTAGTTCCCAAGTAAACAACTTTGAGTTTACCTTTAAAAGAAAAATCTTAAGGGTTATGATATTATAGCAGAAACAAATTTTTATGTTATTACTTTATATATCTTTATTATTTTCGATATTGTTTTATTTCTATTTTTTTTTATTTTAATTTTAATGCGTGGGCAGATGCGAAAAATTCGATTTTCCACTTCCGTTTCCGGCGACTGAACGAATGTAAACGGGAGGCGACGGATAGTTCATTGCAGAAACCTTTTAATATAAATCACTGTTAGGTGATGAACAGAACATCTGGGTACCGTCGTCGCCGATGTTGGAGTTTTCCTCTTCGGAGGAATGAGAGAGAGAGGCGAGGTGCAAATCCTTGCTCATTGCGATAACCCAATAAGCGCGAACTTCCCTTCGTAGCCGTGTTCCTTCCAACCCCCCGTCAAGCCATTTCCAATCCACCCAACCCTTGACTTCATTACGAACTATTGGAATGAAAAATCTGTGTAAAAGTCACCACTATATTTCTTTTTTTATTAATTTTCTTCTAATTAATGTTACAATTATAAATTATTAATCCAATCTTGTATAATAAAAGACACTTTTCGAGGTTGTACTTTAAATCCACACCAAGAATTAAGTAAAAGAAGAATCTTTACGAGGATGTCAGGTGAGTGCATTTTGTTTACTGAAATTTAATAAAATCCTTCATATCCAAGCGAAACTCGTAACTGTTTTTGGTAACAACTGTGCTAGACAGATTATAATGTATTATATTAAAGTGTATAACTGTCATTGTTCTGGAAGCGGTATCCAATTCATTCATAGATACAATAGTTTGTGTTGTTTATCCTACTGTAATAAAATCCCTGTTTCCGAAGAAACAGAAAAAAGACTAATTAAATTTAAGAAATTTAGTATTATGGATTAGGCTAACGAATTTAACTGTAAATTTAAATTTACTTAAAAATTTTCTTAATTTTATATTCAAAATCAAATCAGCTGATTTAAAAAATGTTTATTAAAAAAACTGTTTGTCGGGGAAACTTTAAATTCGGTATAACCTAAGCACAAACATTTCTTTATAACCTCAAAAAGTTTAATTACTTAATTCAGAACAGTTTTGGAGAAAATTCTATTCCACTTTTTCCACTCATATAAACAAAATCGATCACCATGCAAGCATAACATTTGGTATAACCTAACCTCAAACGTTCCTTTTTAATCTCAAAAAATTTCATTACTTAATTAATAACAGTTTTGGAGAAATTAATTTTTTTCGTTAACTTCACATTCAAGAAACGTCATGGTGATTAAACTGGTGATTTTTAACTGTGTATAAAATGAATTAATCATCATGAAACCTTAAAATTTGGTACAACCTAACCTCAAATGTTTGTTTTTAACCTCAAAACATTTCATTACTTAAGTCTTAACAGTTTTGGAGAAATTAATTTTTTTTTAACTTCACATTCAAGATACGTCAAATTAAACTGATGATTTTTAAAACTGTGTACAAAATGAATTGATCACCATGGAAACTTAAAATATGGTATAATCTAACCTCAAACGTTTCTTTTTATCCCCAAAAAATGTCATTAGTTAATTCCCAACAGTTTTGGAGAAATTAATTTTTTTCGTTAAATTCTCATTCAAGAAACGTCAAATTAAACTGCTGATTTTTAAAAGTGTGTATAAAAAGAACTAACCACCGTGGAAACTTAAAATTTGGTATAACCTAACCTCAAACGTTTCTTTTTAATCTCAAAAAACTTCATTACTTAATTCCTAACAGTTTTGGAGAAATTAATTTTTTTCGTTAACTTCACATTCAAGAAACGTCATATTAAACTGGTGATTTTTAAAATTGTGTATAAAATGAATCGATCACCAGGGAGATTTTAAATTTGGTATAACCTAACCTCAAACGTTCCTCCTTAACCTCAAAAAATTTCATTGCTTAATTCCTAACGGTTATGGAGAAATTCATTTTTATTGATTTCATATTCAAGAAACGTCATATTAAACTGGAGATTTTTAAAACTGTGTATAAAATGAATTGATCACCATGAAAATTCAAAATTTGGTATAACTTAACCTCAAACGTTTCTCCTTAATCTCAAAAAATTTCATTACTTATTTCCTAACAGTTATGGAGAAATGAATTTTTTTCGCTAACTTCACATTCAAGAAACGTCATATTAAACTGGAGATTTTTAAAATTGTGTATAAAATGAATCGATCACCAGGGAGATTTTAAATTTGGTATAACCTAACCTCAAACGTTCCTCCTTAACCTCAAAAAATTTCATTGCTTAATTCCTAACGGTTATGGAGAAATTCATTTTTATTGATTTCATATTCAAGAAACGTCATATTAAACTGGAGATTTTTANAAGGTAGAGATAGAACGCTTAACTACATTGCATAACAAAACGAAGAATGGAGAAATTACCTACAGTTCAATTACATATCCGGGAACAATCTCACACAGAATTAGGAAAATATTCCATGAAAACGACATTACCATCTCATTTAAAAATAAAAATACATTAAAAAATATTTTAGTCAACAATAAAGATAAAACGGACATTTTGGCAAAAAGTGGTGTTTACCAACTTCAATGCGGGACCTGCTCCGCAACGTACATTGGAGAAACTGGCAGGAATTTACAAACACGGATAAAAGAACACAAAACCAACTCCAAGTCGAATTTTGGTAGACATCTGACCTTCAACAATCACGACTTTGACGAAACGAAACATGTTAAGCTACTACACCACTTAACAAAAAGCAACCTTATGGAATACATGGAGACATATGAGATAAATGGATGTCTGAGGAACCCTTTCCCCAGAAGAAAGGAAGATAAGACTTAGTAAACCTTACAGTGCAAGTGGAAGAGAGGTTTGAGTTTGGAGGCGACTTGAATGCTGCACCACTTGCACCCCATGCCCCAATGTCCCATTTACATAACTCATACCAAATGGGAAATTATGCCACTCTCATTAGGGATGTGTTAAGCAAAGAAGAAGATCATGAACAATTTGTTAAATACACCAGGATGAATATACAACAATTTAAGTCCTTGTTTGGATTAAAGTAGCCCCATTGATTAAAAAAAACCGTCTGTCACCTGCACGTCGATTAGTGATTACTTAGCAGTAAGTGATAAATATTTTTGATGAATAAAATTCTTCTCTTAAAAACCAAAATATTTGCTGGTCACTTATCAGAGCATGGAACTTTAAAATTGGGAAGACTACCACTACACTGCATCATTAAAGAAACTACAGAACCAATTTATAAAGTATTACACTTTTTGGTATTATTAGAGCCCACCAAGGAAACTTTTACTGCAATTGCGACAGATTTTTTTAATAAATGGCAATTGCCAAATTGTTGTGGTGCAGTGGATGGCAAGCACATTCACATCCAAGCGCCAAAAAAAAGTGAAAGTCTGTTTTATAATTATAAACAATCATTTAGCATTGTTTTAATGGCATGCGTAGATGCAAATTATAAGTTTTCAATGGTGGACATTGGTGCTTATGGTTCCAATCATGATGGCGCTATATTTAGGGAAAGTGTTTTTGAAGCAGCACTTTTAAATGGAAATTTAAACCTTCCACTACCAAAAGAATTACCAGGAACAAATGTTGTCTTGCCTCATTTTCTTGTAGGAGATCAAGCATTTCCACTACATGAGAACATTATGAAGCCATATTACAGAATTTCCAGAGGTAGGAAAGTAGTTGAAAATGCCTTTTGAATTTTAACAGCACGATGGAGAATTTTAAAGAAACCCATAGTTGCGAATGCTGATACTGTCGATAAAATTGTGAAATGTGTGGTAGTTCTGCACAATTTTTTACAAGGAGATAAACAGTATTGCCCCACTGTATTTGTAGACACAGAAACATTAATAGGAGATGTGCTTCAGGGGCAGTGGAGAGAGGATGGTGCAGTTTTGAGAGGGGTACGCCGTCTTGGAAACAATAATTCTGCACGGCGATAATAATTAATACCCTCGGTACACTCATAATGTATGCCAAATTTGGTTTTTCTAGCTTAATGTATTACGAAGCTATTGAATGTTTTAAAAATTTAAGACCCAACTTTGAAAGCCTATAGGGGTACAACTTAGTATAGAGATAAGTTGCGTTAAATCTTCTTCATTTATTGTCTTCTACATGTCCCTGCTCTGTGTCGGTTCTTATGTAAATCACCACAGGGTGATACAGATACAGGCTGTATCTGAATTTATTTAGATTAATAATTTATAACCAACGCCTCAAAAATACTCACGCACCACCATAAAACAAATTATTTCCTCGTTATGCGTGTTAATAAATGCCAACCCCAAAAAAAAAAACAGGAAGCGTGTTTAGGGATGTATATAAAGGCTACATATGGATCGAAATAAAAACGCAGGAAATTTTACCTTTCAAGCGGATAAATGGGGTTCATACTAGTCAGAGAGTTAGAGAGACAGGCAGATAATGGGGCAGATAAGGAGCTGGGAATCTTTGAAGGAGATTTGTACAGTTGAAAATAATGTTTGATGGATTAGTAAGGAACGGAAATATGGAGTTGGAAGGAAAACAAGGTGGTGGAAGAGATCCTAAAGAGATATTGATAGTTGAACAGGGAGACACTAAAATATGTAGTGAGAGAGGAGTTGAACCTGGAGAAGATGAGGCTAGAAACAATAGAAAAGCGATGAAGTACGAAAGTGAGCTGGAGCAGAGGAGCGACTAAGATTTTGGAGGAAGGTTAAGATTCGGCTTATGGGCAACAAGAAAAAAGAAAATATTATATCACAGTAGGGTACTCAATAAAGGAAATACAAAGAAGGTGGGGGAAGGGTCAACACTATGGAAGGAGTTGGAGGGTAGAGATAGAGAAGTGGAACAACAGGAACGTCGTGCTCAGATGAAAGAGAGGAGATGCAATAAGTTCATATGTAAAAGTTTTTATTATCAACCATCTCCCTCATCCATCCTCAGCCTTCTCCCCCCTCTTCCAGAATTTGCCTTCGATTCCTTACCTCGTTTCTCAACTCGCTACATCCTCCCTACATACACTGTGTTAATTAATTATCGTAAACTACGTGACCTGTGTAATATTGGCTGCAACATTTTCCAGACATTGACGTTGATTATGACACTTTTAAGCATAGGAAGGAAACATGTGGTTGTAACTCGTTTTGAAGAGCGAAATTGCATTTGCAAACAAACACCTGGCGATAGGAATGCTAAAATCACCGATGATGTTGTAGAAGACATTCGTGAGCGAATGGCCCGCAGTGCTAACAAATCAAGGAGAAGGTTTTCAGAAGAATTTGTTTTAATTAAAACCTAATTACATCGCTATAATATTATAATTTTAACAGGACTTATTGTTAGTGTTGCCAGCTGTCACAAAGTTTTTACAAAACAACTTCAAATGCATCCTTACAAAGTCACTATAGTGCATCGATTACAAGCACTTGATTACGACAGACGAGTAATTTTTTGTCATTGATGTGATATACAGTGTGTCCCCGGATAGGTGAAATGTTTCTTATAAAAGAGAAAATTTTTTCGATATTAATTGTTATTTTTTATTTGATTAATTGATTAAAGACTAATTTTGAACATACTATTAATTTTTAAAAAACAAGTGAGCCTTGTAGTAAAAGAAAATTTTTTTTGTGGCAGGTAAAGTACGTTTTCTGTTTACAGTATGTGAAAGTGTTACTAAGAAGTTTTGTTCAGAATTCAAAATGAAAAACTATGGCTGTATGCAAATTTTCGGAATGATCGGCCTACTTTGAAAAAATCCATATCAAACTATTTTATTTCTAACAAAGACTGCCATGGAAGAACAAAATTGCTTTCCTGTCATTGTTAATCTGCCAAAGTGTAATTTAGTAAACTTAAAGTGTTTTTTAAATACAACGTATAATGTTTTTGTAGTTGATGAACAATATTTATTGGATAAAGGAATATTTTATGAAGTAGCTTCATTAGCAAGATTAATACGTACATTATAAGAACGTATGATGTTATTGGCTCAATGAACAGCTTTAATTGATACTGTGAACTAGCATCGTTAGAAAGACAAACCTGTACATGATTACATTGTATGGTGTTATTGCAGCAATGAACATTTTTAATCGATACTATAAAGTAGTATCATTGGCAGGATAATCCTGCACATAATTATAATGTTCGACTTTGTTGGCTCAATAAAATGTGATTTGAAAAAACCAATGTACGCTATTCATTCATGCAATAAATTTACATTAATCAATGAACGAGTTCATCCTTTTGTGCAAACTGTTCATTGTGTCAACGTACTTGTTCATCGGACTGATTTTATCGTTATTTTCATTGTTACAACGAAGAAATTCGTTGTATATACGTCACTTTTTCTCTCAGTGAACTCAGGAACCGGGGAAAAACCGATAAATATGGTTATTGCTTTATTTAGTGAAAATTTTCCAAATACTGGAATTAAAAGTATCGAAAAAAATTTACATTTTATAAGAGTCGTTTCACCTATCCGGAGACATACTGTAGATGGAGAGAACTTTTTTAGTGATGAAGCGTGGTTTCATTTATCGGAATATGTCAATTTCTAAAACTACAGAACCTGGGCCACCGAGAACTCAAATCAACTAGTAGAAACGGATCTGCATGCCATAAATGTTGGCATATGGGTCGCAATGTCAAGACGACATTGCGACCAATTTATGCGACCGATTTATTGGACCAATCTTTTTCTATGATTCTATTAACGGGGCACGATACCGAAAAATTTTGAGCAATTTTATAGAACAACTCCACCATGACGAGCTACAGCACGGATATTTCCAACAAGTCAATACACCAACCTACACGGCGAGGGAAACCATACAGTATTTATCGGAGTACTTTGTGGATCTAACTCCGCTTGATTTCTACTTGTTCAGAATTTGTAGCATTTTAAAGCAGCAATTCGAGAGGAAATTAATAATATACCAGTAGAAGAGTTACAGCGAGTCTTTATGTTTGTTTAGAAAACAGTGGACAGCATTTTCAACACATGCTGTAAATTTCGTTTTTCTATTGTAATATTAATAATGTTATTAACAATGTATGTTCTAACGTTTCCCAATCCTCTCCGCATAGCCCTCACCACCTCTCTACATCGTCCGCCCAGTACCTGTTCGCTCTCTCCTCATTGCCACAACGGAATGTGGCCACCAGCCAAGGTTTATATATTAAAGGTTGTCTAAGTTCCTATGCTGCAATACTTTGATTTTAGTTTGTAGGCGAGGGGCAAGAGCAGGAGTGTTTCGTGACGTAAGCGATCACGGATTGCGCACGCAACCTCATGGCCATATGGCGCTCCATGCATTTGTTTAATTTGAATTGCTTGGCGGTATTATTTTCCACATGTGACGTAATGCACAGTATGGTTGCGTACGAACCTAGACAACCTTTTATATATAAACCTTGGCCACCAGCCTCTTCCTTTCCTCACTCCCTTCCTTCAACAAGTATTTTGGAAACCCCTCCGTCATTATGTCCCCATATCTTTCATTGTATCTTCTCTCTCTTATCTGCGCCCTTCTTTTCTGTCTCTGGACGTTCCTATCCCTATCGCTTACCTCCCCCCACATCACCACCTCTTCACTTCTTCTGTTATTTATCTCTGCCTCCGAATAACCCGTCCATTTGTAATAGTCCCTCCTCTCTCCGTTACCATATCTAATCTTAACGTCCTTCCAACACTCCCCCAGGATCGCGCAGTGTGGTCTTCTATCTATCATTTCTTCATAATTTAGTGCTCTTTTGCCCGCCTCCACCCTCATTTCATCCCTCACTGTTTCCGTCGCCAGACCCAGAACCCACCTCCAGTACTGATTCTGCACGTCCTTCAGAATATCCTGCCTCTTCCATCCCCAAACTTCCGTCCCGTACATCATTGCACTCCTCACCAACCCATCAAACATAATCTTTCTCTTTCTGATGTCCCTTCCAAACACTCTCTCACCCCATCCCCAGACCTCACCTTGTTTACACTTTTCCTTCCTGAACCTGTACCTGTGCCTTTCTCCCGCCTTTGCAGAAGTTTATCATCTTTGTCTTTGCTACATTCACCCCATTCACTCCCATGCTAGCACGTGAATCTTTCTCTCTCTTATCACCATTCCTCCCTCTCCAGCTTGCCTTCCAAATTCACCGTATACAGGGCAAAAAAGCTGAGATACAATAAGTATAAGGTCTTAATGACGGAGGAAATTTTTTCCCCCATGTGATGACCAAGTTTCAAGGAAGTTCCATCTTTTTTCTGATGTCTAACTGATGAAAGCCCATATCTTAGCCATTTATGGGTTTAGACCAAAAAATTTAACACGAATCGTCATCATTTCAACTCTAGTATTTGTGATTAAAATTATACCACAACTTACAAAAACACCCTGTATAATGAGTTTGTTTCTATGATAGTTAATATTATATTGACGACAAAGAGACATTACTATAGGGATAGCACAGATGCGGCTTCAATTTATTGGCGCCAATTTCCTCTCTGGTATGTTCAAATATGCGCTGTCAATATGACATAAATAGTTGCTTAACATCAAAGTAGCAATTCATAAATGGTTTCTAAAACTAATAAACCGCGATAATAAAGTCTTTCGGGTTATGAAGTTTAAAGCTATTACACATAGATAAAAAAGTGGTCTAAAATAATATCGTATTTCCGGTGTATGGAACAATGCACAAAGCAGATCGCAGCAGGACATAAATCTAAAGGGAGATACGATCTCTGTATTATGCGGAACGCGCGAGGTCCGTTCTCGGTGCGACTCAATTTATTACATATTAGCCGTTGGTCACCAAGAAGCGATTTCACCGTATAACCTTCCACGTCCACCCTCTACATACTCTATAGCCTCTAGGTTTCCCTTCGAAACGATTTTCAGTTATCGTCGATTTCTGCTACCCCTCATTTTCGTGGTACTATAACCTATAATCTATCGGGAATAGGAAACGAGAAAAGAAAGGAAACATGAATAGACAGGGATGGAGAGTTGTTTTTTACAATTTTTAGTGAGCCGAAAATTTTATTGTTATTGCACCCCCAATTTATTTTCCTTTATTTGAAATAAAAATAGCACAATTTTTTTATTCTTTTTATTTTAATGGTTTTTGATTTAAATGCTTTTGCAATAAAGTTGTGTTAAGTTAATATCATTGACGTTCATTTTCTAATTTAATTTTAACCCTAACTTTTTTTTCTTGTTTTCTGTGTTTGTGGCAAAAGTTGAATTTGAAAAAGACGGAAAACTTGTCCCGAGAAAGTTTTAGATCATCTCTTCTACGGAAAGTTTTCAATTCTGCAAAAGTTTTTGGTTATCTAAAATTAGTTTTCTTTTTGTTATTATTTTTGTTCGTTTTTAATTGTTTAATTTGTTTTTTTTTTAATTTTCGATTTTTGCTTTGAGCTATAATTGAAGCGTAATCCTTTTCCTTTTAGCGGTTGATTACGGTGTAAAAGCTACCGGAAACTCGAGGAATCCAACTCTTCTTATTTTACAGTATCCACCCTCGGGCCACGTTTTCGAATATAAACGTCGATGTTTACATTTATGAAAAGCGCTCGTTTCCAAAGAAAACTTTACCTGTCTCCTCTCGGCTTTCTTCGTCCACGTTGTTGGATTCAACGTGCATCATCTTAGAAGGCATTTTTAAATCATGTGCCTTCGGGAGTTTTTTAAATAATGCAAGGATTACTTTGAATAGTTTTGTAGCAGCGAAAAATTTTAAAGGTGAATCATAACCTCAAACAAAAAACTTTTTGTTGTTGATTACCCAAATAAATTTTGTTGTAACTTTTTTTAAATTTAGACATAAGTACTAACCTTATTTTAAAGCCCCTTTTAGTTTTCTTTGTTTCTATAAAACACTTCCGCCCACTTTTTCCAATAAAGGTAATAAATTTCCCACCGGACTCATTCGGTTATCCCGGAATCGGGATGAACTAGATACGCGCGCGACGACAACCGGGATACTACTGAAAGGGTCCTGTGGGATATCCGTAGTCAAACGGGTGTGCATTGAAATTCGGGTGGGGAGCTCTGAAAAAGGATCCCTAAACAAATCACATTTTATAAAACGCTGTTCCCTAATTTTTCCATTTTCTTTCTTTCCCCGAATAATTTGAACCAAAAAAAAGAATTCGATTTGGAGTTTTTTAGGATTTGAAGTTCGTTCTACGCTCCAGATCAAATCGGTATTTTTCAATTTTATGGGTAAACTTTATCACAGCGCATAAAAGTTACTTCACATTCTTTATTTAGTCAAAACTATTTAGTCAATTCTATTATTAAAAAGACTTGAATACCAAAATAAGCAATTTTTGCCTATCTCTCTTCCCCATTAAGTATTATACGGCTATAATTAAAACACGGCTTAAGGAGAGCGTGTTAAATAATGAGTTCTTTCGTGAGCGTTAAGACGTAACTCGTTGTGATAGGGTTGGTCGTAGCGAAAGAAGGGTTGGGCGACCGTTGAAATGTTGCGAAATATTTCTCTTTCCTTAATGCAGTAATAGAATAATAAAGAAGACTTAATTATGACATCCCAATTAGTATTTGAGATACGATTTTTTTGAAAATTAATTGTATTTAACCTAACACATAATTACGTTTTTGCAGAGTTATAATCAAAAAATCATTACTCTGAGATTTGAAGATTTGAAGAAATGATCTTCAACACACTTTATACTAAATAATTTTGCTTTAAATTGGTTTTTATATCATTATGATATTTCGACTAGTATTTGAGATACGATTTTTTGAAAATTAATTGCTTTTAACCTAACTCATATAATAACGTTTTTGTAGAGTTGTAATCAAAAAATCATGACTCTGAGATTTGAAGATTTGAAAAAACGATCTTCAACACACTTAATACTAAACAATTTTGCTTTAAATTGCTTCTTATTTCATTTTGATATCTCAATTAGTATTTGAGATACGATTCTTTTAAAATTAATTGCTTTTAACTTAACACATAATTACGTTTATGCAGAGTTGTAAGCAAAAAATCATTACTCTGAGATTTGAAGAAACGATCTTCAACACACTTAATACTAAACAATTTTGCATTAAATTGCTTCTTATTAAATTATGATATCTCAATTAGTATTTGAGATACGATTTTTTAAAAATTAATTGTTTTTAACCTAACTCATATAATTACGTTTTTGTGAGGTTGTAATCAAAAAATGGTTACTCCGAGATTTGAAGATTTGAAGAAACGATCTTCAACACACTTAATACTAAACAATTCTGCTTCAAATTACTTCTTATTTCATTATGATATCTCAATTAGTATTTGAGATACGATTTTTTAAAAATTAATTGTTTTTAACCTAACTCATATAATTACGTTTTTGTGGGGTTGTAATCAAAAAATGGTTACTCCGAGATTTGAAGATTTGAAGAAACGATCTTCAACACACTTAATACTAAACAATTCTGCTTCAAATTACTTCTTATTTCATTATGATATCTCAATTAGTATTTGAGATACGATTTTTTAAAAATTAATTGTTTTTAACCTAACTCATATAATTACGTTTTTGTGGGGTTGTAATCAAAAAATGGTGACTCCGAGATTTGAAGATTTGAAGAAACGATCTTCAACACACTTAATACTAAATAATTCTGCTTCAAATTACTTCTTATTTCATTATGATATCTCAATTAGTATTTGAGATACGATTTTTTAAAAATTAATTGTTTTTAACCTAACTCATATAATTACGTTTTTGTGGGGTTGTAATCAAAAAATGGTGACTCCGAGATTTGAAGATTTGAAGAAACGATCTTCAACACACTTAATACTAAATAATTCTGCTTCAAATTGCTTCTTATTTCATTATGATATCTCAATTAGTATCTGAGATACGATTTTTTAAAATTAGTTGTTTTTAACCTAACACATAATTACGTTTTTGCAGAGTTGTAATCAAAAAATCATTACTCTAAGATTTGAAGAAACGATCTTCAACACACTTAATACTAAACAATTTTGCTTTATATTACTTCTTACTTCATTATGATATCTCAATTAGTATTTGAGATAAGTTTTTTTTTAAATTAATTGTTTTTAACCTAACACATAATTACGTTTTTGCAGAGTTGTAATCAAAAAACCATTACTCTGAGATTTGGAGTTTTGAAGAAACGATTTTCAACACACTTAATACTAAACAATTTTGCTTTAAACTGCTTCTTATTTCATTATAATATCTCAATTAGTATTTGAGATAAGATTTTTTGAAAATTAATTCCCTTTAACCGAACTTATAAAATTCTGTTTGTACCATTGAGGCATTATCATTAACATGGGTAAACAATCATTGGTCGTGCTTATAAAAATGGGTAAACAATCCCGACCTATCCTAAAAATCCTTTTTCACGGTCATTACCACGGGTAGACAATCCTGACCTATGGTAACGATCCTTTTTCACGATCATGAACATGACTAAACAAATCTGACCTATCCTAACATTCTTTGGTCACACTTATTAAAACAGGTAAACAAACCAGACCTATCCTAACAACCCTTTTCACGGTCATTAACCCCGGGTAAACAATCCTGACCTATCTCAACATTCCTTGGTTACGCTTATTAGAATGGGTAAACAAACCCGAAGGTTTCCACAAATTAATCCTTAATTAACATTAATCCTAATGTTATGTGTAGAGGTGGTAGTAGAATGCTTTTTGCGGTCACGCAATTCTAGTACAGAATGCTTTTCTCTCCAAGCTTTTAAAATTTTCTGACGGCCCAAGTAGTATTGAAACCTCATCAATTTCTTCTTCCAGCACAGAGGCAGAAACTAAGAAACTATCAGAATAGGGTTACAAAAGTAAATCCTAACAATCTGACATGGTTAGTACTGAAGATGCTGACACCAAAGAAAAGTTAGCGAACGAGATGAAAACCCTTTCCTTGTCTTAGCTCTTCTTAATTACTAGATGGTTTGTCTTACTGATATGTATAATTGCTGTTAGTTTTAAGTTTTTGGTAACAAGAAGTCTTTCTATTTTTTTTCTATTTATCTACTAAAAAGGACCAATGAAAAACAGCTGACCCACTGGGAATGCTTTTTGTTTTATTTTAGTTTTTAAGTATTTTGTTATAGAGGTTTATAATGGTGTTATGGGTTAATAAACATTATTATTGTTATTATTATAATGATTTACGCAAGTGGAAGGCTGAATTATAAGGAACCATGGAAGCGAACAATCTCGATTTTGATGTATTTCCTTTACTTTGCCACTTTTCCTTGATCCCAAAGTGGAAAAACTCCAAACAGTCCGATTGTTGTGGTGGCCAGAATAAAAATTTAGATGTTTCGCTTTTTGCAAAACATTCCCCACACTTAATTACATGCAACCTAATAATAACATGGGTATTATAAATAGAAAATTAAGAAGCTGGATTCAAGAACATTTTAGCAAATTATTGTATAACGTCTAAGAGACTTACGAGACGTACGGCTAAACTCAAATGTTTCTAGTTCTAGGTCTAATGTTAGTTCTAGTGACAGTGTAAGTGTAAAACTGGAACCATTTATATGTAATAATTAATATCAGTTCGACTTGAAGAGGAACCTGAAGATTTATAAGATAACACCTGTCTTCAAAGCAGGAACTAAACTTGGACAAATCCTTATTAATAACAAGCACAAATTCCAACTTTCAGAGCTCAGTGGTATTTATAAGATGAATTTACAACTGCGAAAAATTCTACATTGGTCAGGCGGGTCGTTCTTTGCATGCTAGAGCTAAAGAACATCTATCAAAAAGTGACTTATCCTTTTTCAAACACCTTGGAGAAGAAAACCATAGTCCAATGTTGATAACATCAGACTTGTCAAGATCTTGAACAAATCCAGAGAGATGGACTTATACGAAAAATATATGATACTACTCAATAAAAAAATTAACAAAGATTGAACAACATTTTCTGAAATTCACATAAATGGTTTAAATGTAACTGTTTATACAAGACATTTTTTATCATATACTTGTTTGCTTACTTGTCAGTTCGTCATGAGACCTGTTTGTGTTAACGTCACCTTATACAGTTCATTTTAATATATTTTAATTTATTTGTAAATTTTAAATTGTGGTTTTGTATTTATATCAATTGTTAAAGTGTTCACTGTTAATTTTTAGTTTGTATAATTGTGTTTTTTGCAACTAAACAAAGATTGTGGTTTTACGCTTCGAATGAATGGAAATGAATGGAAAAGAAATGTGTAACTGACCGCTGTTCTAGGGAACTTTAATTGACACAGAACTAGGATCATTCAGGTTTAACCGTCTTTAGAAACGTGCGGCTAAATTCAAATGATTCTAGTTGTAGGTATATAGTGCTAGTTCTACATAGTTACAGTGCTAGTATTACATTAGAACTAAGACTATACCTAGCACTAGAGTCATTCGGGTTTAGCCGTCTTTAGAGACGTGCGGCTAAACCCAAACGATTCTAGTTCTAGGTATAGTGTTAGTTCTAGTTTTACACTGACTGTCATTAGAACTAATACTAGACCTAGAAGTAGAATCATTCGGGTTTAGCAGTCTTGAGAGACTTGCGGCTAAACCCGAATGATTCTCGTTCTAGGTCTTGTATTAGTTCTAGTGACTGGTGCAAAACTAGGACTAACACTAGATCAAACGATTCTAGTTCTAGGTATAGTGTTAGTGCTACATAGTGACAGTGCTAGTGTAAAACTAGAACTAACACTATACCTAGAACTAGAATCTATCTGGATTAGCCGTCTTTAAAAATGTGCGGCTAAACCCAAATGATTCTAGTTCTAGGTCTGATATTAGTTCTAGCGACAGTGCAAATGTAAAACTAGAGCTAACACTATACCCAAAACTAGTATCATTTGGGTTTAGCCGTCTTTAGAGACGTACGGCTAAACCCAAATGATTCTAGTTCAAGGTATAGTGTTAGTTCTACATAGTAATAGTGCTAGTGTAAAACTAGAACTAACACTACAGCCAGAAATAGAATCATTCGGGTTTAGCCGTCTTTAGAGACGTGCGGCTAAACCCAAATGATTCTAGTTCTAGGTATAGTGTTAATTCTACATAGTGACAGTGCTAGAATAAAACTAGAACTAACACTAGACCTAGAACTAGGAACATTCTGTCTGAAGACGCACGGCTAAACCCGAAACTTTCTAGGTCTAGTGTTACTTTTAGTTTTAATTGTTATTCAGCATTAGATTGTGGTATATTTTTATTGGACGAAAAGTAGAACTAACACTAGACTTGATCGTCATGAATTGGAAATGTTATTTTCAACATTTTAAACATAATAGCTGTAAATAAAAACAACACGATAAAGAAACCTTATAAACTAGAATTAATCCCTGAAATGGCCTGGTTTTAAAACGAAATCCTATTGAACTGAATACCCACATTCTCAACCCATTTTAACCCCTTTCGGATAACTCATCCATTAGTTAGTTTCAAACCACGTCCACCGCAATGTTATTTTACATATTATTAACGTTTCTTTCCCTTTCAATAACGGTATTTGGAAATTTGTGTTCAGAGAATCATCAGCGCACGATAAATTTAGTTTCGCAAGTGTTAATAAAGGAAAATTTGCGGGAAATTCGCGCATTAATGAAAGAGAACCCCCGCGATCGGAACGAAAAGTTACTGGAATTGGTTTCGGGTAACGAAAACTTGCTGCTGGGAAATTTAACGAGGATTTTCACGGAAGATTCGGGATCGCTCGACGGGATTTCCGTTTATTTAAGCGATTTTCTTGGAGAAAATCATTTGTCGAAATCGATTTCTAAGAAAATTGATGAAGAAATATGTCGAAATACTCAAAATAGGTTCGAGATTAATAAATAAATAATTTAAAAAAATATTTAATGTTACATTTTTAGTTTGACGTTTTCGCAATTTAATATTGATGATTTTGAGGTTGTTTTTGATGAAATTCCAAACGGAAAACAATACAAAGTACATAAAATTAATGAAGATTTTGGTTTTTTTAATTTTTACTCTCAATTAATCGGGTTTTTACATCCAAGTAGTTTTAATCAACTTTTAAAACTTTTTAAAGAGTCTAATTGGAAAACGCAACCTTTACACTTATTAATATTACAGGTAAATCGTGTAAAAGTGTTTCTTTTTTTGATTTAAATAATTTTAGGTCACCAAATTAGAAACGTTAGTTTTATTTTTTATAACAATCTGGTTTATACTGTCGATATCTCTTCCAATAGCAATAATAACTCAATTATGTTTCTCGAAAACTTCGACCACGTCAACCGGAAATGATGGATCACAACAGCATCATCGACTTCTCGCCTTATTTCTTTATACGACGTTAACGATCTTGGTGTAAGTAATCCCCAAAAAAGAAATCGATGAAACAAAAATAATTAAAAAAGAATGAAAAGTTAGGTTATGTTAGCTTCGAGATCTTACTTCCAGGGTTTTTTTCGTGTTGGGTAATTTTTCTTGTTGATTTTTAGGACATGTATATTGCTAATGCTCGCCTCGAATGATAAATTAACGAAATCCGTTGAAAAACTTCCGTATACAACGGGATTGATCGTTACGGATCTCGAAACGTTCGTTGAAAATACACATTTACAAATGAATTTTGCTACTGGGGTTGCGTTTGAAAAGGTTTTTGATCGGATTGAACAAGATTTAAAAGGTAAAGTTAAAAAAATTAGATAATAAGAAAATTTTTGAATGAAATGGCATTTTGACAAAAGTGACTTAACCTAAAAAAAAGTTTAATGTTAATTCTATATGTATAATTAAGTATAGATCCTAGTTCTTGGTCTAGTGTTAGTTCTATTTGGGTTTAGCCGCACGTCTCTCAAGACTGCTAAACCCGAATGATTCTAGTTCTAGGTATAGTGTTAGTTCTAGTTTTACACTTACACTGTCACTAGAACTAACATTAGACCTAGAACTGGCAGTGTAAGTGTAAAACTAGAACTAACACTATACCTAGAACTAGAATCATT